CAAGACGCAGCACAAGCTCTGGGAATCTGGCACTTTTGTCACTCTCAAAACAATCTTTACTCAATTTTAATTTACAACCACCATTAAATCTCTCAAGAAAAAATAATATAAGTACTTGTGTATAAATTATATACATGTGTAGTAATATCAACTTATTAACTTGATTAGAAAAATTAAAACTGCTAATTATAAGGGTTGCAACCAGTGGAAATAGCAGTATTCACAGGTTTTTAATTCCTCTATCAAATTTTTTGTAGAAAAAAAGAGATATTGTGTTTTAAATAGTAAAAATACACTCCCATGAATTTTTGTAGAGTATTAGGTGTTGTGTTTTGTGTGTAAATGCAAATTGGCAAAGAGGGATTGTTGGCAAAGAGGGATCATGGTATAGTATGCATGTAATGTGATATTATATGATATCATATGGCTAATATGGATAGCTAGCGGTGCATTCCAATTTATCGAAAGTCGGGATTTGCAAAGAGTGGACTTCTAGGCATTCCATATTGGGAAGATATATTTCTCCGGTTTGTTCCTGTAGCTGTTCATCCCGAAATGGAAGGAGGCTTGATCCTTCTATAGCAACGGCTTGCTTACTCGAGAGAGAGACGACACGTTGCTTTCCTTCATTCAGCATGTGCATACCTGACCATCAGGCGACTCGAGCATTTTCTGACCGTTCTGTTCCGTTTGTGCAAGGGAGAGCAGGTCAGATATGTAGACACCGACGGTCGCCGGGATGTGATACCCACCACCCGCTGATTGGATAAACGTCGGTCTGCATTTGGCAAGCCCGTTGTTTGGTGTGGACAGCTGTTCTCTATCTGGCTGTCGAGAAAGGTTCCATCCATGAGGACTGTCTTTCTGCTGCTAGGCTATTCTATAAGTACGTCCTATCTGGCTGCTCCCTTCTTCTTCTCGGCTGTACGGTGTACCTACCCTCAACCATGTCACTGTCGCTGTTCAACGTCCTGCTCGGAGCGGTGACCTTCTTTCTATTGCTGAATGCCGGAATCGCGCTGCGGAGAGGCTACGCCAGTCTAAGGTAAGTTCTGATATCCACATTATATATATTGCGTGTCTCCCGTCGGAAGTCCGGATCCTGACTCCTGACACGTAAATGCTAGTTCATGCCCGCAAGGAGGCTTGATCTGGTTTCACCCACAGTTAATTATCGCGCTTGTGCTTGCACCGGTGTTTCCACCTCGTGGATGGTTTGCGCATTATAACTCACGGTTTCATCGTAAGTCTCCCTTTTAATTCATTTATCCCTGTGGTTCCTGAATACGGATCTTTTTCTTTTTTTCTTTTTGAATCTGTTGGGTAGTATATGCAAAGAAGGGTAGTACAATCTTGTCGGGATTATGGGTATGGTATGCAAAACCGATGTTTTGGGTCGCCGACGTGGAGGCACTCAAGACGATCACTTCGGACCGGTATACATTTACGAAGGATATTATAGCTGTAGGTATTCGAGCATCTATTTGCTTTTTGCGATTGATTGACCCTTGTACCTGATCGTGCTACCTCTTTGCTGATCTTGACTGTAGTATTCTATGGTCGATATATACGGAAAGAGTCTCGTTAGCACAGAGGGGAACGAATGGCGGCGTCATGTTGCTGTTGCAGGACCAGCGTTCGGAGATGCTCTCAACTCACTGGTTTGGAAAGAGACACTCCGATTAACGCATGACTGGTTTGCGGACGAGCTAGCTTCAACGCCGTTTGACTGCAGAGTTCCCGGTTCTGGTTCTGTCATAAAAGTGGATATGTTATCCAAAATGACACAGCTTACGCTTCATGTTATCGCTGTCTCGGGATTTGGACTTCGCATGCCCTGGAAAGCGTTCAGCAATATGCATCAACACGCACGGCATAGCATGGATAAAATACTTCCGTTTCACGTTGCTCTTGAGTTTACGCTTACGAATATTCATTTTTCTCTTGTCCCGGAGTTCTTTTATTCGCTCCCTGTTCGCATCCCGTGGCTTTCTGAGAAACTTGAGGAAGCTCAACATGCGTTTGCGAGTCTGAAAGCGCACATGACGTCTATCGTGGAGTCTGTCCGCCACGAAGGGAAAGACGATGATCGGAAACAGAAGACGACAGCAGAGGATATGAATGTGGGAGTGGAAGGATCGGGCGCTGAGTTGCTTCGAAAGCTTGTGCAGGCTAACGAATCGAAAAGCGAAGAAACGACGGCAAATAACAATAAACGCACTCTTACGGATGGCCAGCTCTTCAGTAACATTTTTGTAAGTTAATTTCAAACTGCAGGGTCATACTTTGGTGTTGTTGACAAGTGATTGGGTTGAGACATTTCTCCTTGCTGGGCATGGTGAGTGTGCAATTCATTTATTCGTTACTCATTATCCTGAACCATCGGACAACTTACGGCATTTAATAGAAACGTCAGCCCATACACTTGCCTTTGCATTCCTCCTCCTTGCGATTTATCCGGATGTACAATCAAAAGTTAGAGCTGAAGTTTATCGCATTTGGCCTTCGGACGATGATGTAAAGGTGTCGAACTATAGGGACGACTTTGATAAATTTGTTTGTGGTCCCTAAAATGTCTAGCTGGGTTTGCCACATATCACTGACTCTACACTGTTTGGTATGCATATGCAATGCCAATAGGAGTATACAATTGCCTTCTTCCGGGAGACTCTGCGCTGCTTCCCTACAGAACCGCGGCTCATAAAGCTGACAAGTGCAGATAGCATCTTGACTGCAAGGCGATTTCGGCCAGCATCTGGATCTGCGATCTGTGTTCCCGATCTGTCTTTCGATGGGTCGGATACAAACGTGCAGTTTAAGCGCGATGTATCTTCCGAAGAGCCATTCAACGTGTTTGTACCGAAAGGAAGCATCGTCGTAATGGACATCTGGGGTTTACATATGAATCGTACGTGTCTACTTGATTTCTTTATTTAATGATATGGGAAAAAAATGAGGATAGTTAATTCATGTCAACAGCACTGGTATGGGGATCGGATGCACATTTGTTCCGCCCTGAGCGGTTTATAGATACGGAAGTATATAAGTGGCCTCGTGATGGATGTAAGTGACTTGGGCTAGTACTAATGTGATTTGGAGAATGCTGACGTAGCTTGTTGGCCCTTTCTTTCTTTTCTCTTTCTTCATTAGTCCTGGCATTCTCTAGCGGCGCACGCGGGTGTATCGGGCAACGCTTCGCCACTGCGGAAGCAATCTGTGTTATAGCGGGTCTCGTGCGCCGCTTTGAGGTTCTTCCCGCCATTGACGCGCGGAATTATTCTTCGTTCGAGGAATTCAAGCGTGTGATGCTCTCGTATGCGCCGATGCTCACTATTACTCCGAAAACGAATTGCATTAAGTTACGTCGGTTGGACACAAATACGAAGAAGTAGTACAAACTAAGGGAATTATTTAAGTAGGTACAAAAATGTAAATAGTATACAAGACCTGGTAGCCGGTCTGAATAACGGATAGATATACCCCGTTGTATCGGAAGAAAGGAGTTACATCATACTACGATATTATGAACGGGTCTTTGAGACGGTGGCACATGCACCGATCCTGAGCCTTTCCGCATTCGTGAGACTGATTCAGAAGGCTTCTTGTACTGCAATTGGAGGAATTGAATGAGATACATAAAGCCTTTAAGAAAGTAGTCTTTCAGAACTACCTTCGAGAAGACCTTGCGCGTGAAACCACTGATGCGACCCATTACTTCGTCTGTATTCTCAAAGTGAGGGGAGTGTCCGGCTCCCTCGAGGACGCAAAAGTCGACGTTGGAGAACATGTTTCGGACTTCGGTTTCGAGGTTTGATAATATAATTTGCGTGTCTCTCGTCCCGATCATTACGAGAACTGGGAGACCCTGTGCCCCAAGCTTTTTCAAACCTGTTGGGTCTTGGGGCCGTGTAAGAGCGAATCGGCGGTGTCTTGGCCGTTGGAATGTCTAAGTACGCAGCTTTGAGTAAACAAGCATAATTTGAGGTGACGCGTTTAATTCAAACGCTTACCGACATGCCCTGCCACAGCGCTCGAGTCTCCCATGGGATTGACTCGGGGTCGTTGAAGCAGGAGTTGAAGAAAACTTGCATGTTATCGTCGACCGAGTTCGCGTCGTCGGAACCGGTTATGTCGGTAAGGAGGTTAAGAATAAACGGAGTCCCGATAGCTTGCATAATTGATCCGGTGTAAGGACAGGGTGAGATGTAGACTACACCGGCCAAGGTGTCTGCTGGTAGATGCGCCGCTATGTCCGCAACGACTGTCGCTATTACGATTAAAAAACACATGTTAGAAACTAATGTAAGTAGCATTATACTCTTTGGAGGGTAGTTACCTCCGAGACTCCTGGATAACCGGGAAGTAGTACAGTATATTAGATATGATTTATTACGATGCGGGAAATATAACCTTACCAGGCGACGACGATTGGTTTGTGGACTTTGAATGCCTGGAGGACAGCAGCGAAATCATCGGCGAATAGCTTGGACGCGTATTCTTCAATCGTATCTGGCTTGCCGCTTCGTCCGTGCCTGCAATGCAAGCAACAGAAACGATTAGTATGTGGCCCGTCGCTCGCTCGGTAAGCGAAGCTAATCAATGTATGAAACACACTGACCCTCGGACGTCGTACCTCACCTGATGGGAACAGTCAAAAGTAGCTAATGTAAGCCATGGGTATCACTGAAACAAAGTTGCAATGCTAGAAGAACTCACCAAGTAAAATTCAGAAGAGTATCGCGGGTCGGCGAAGATGTTGTCCCAGACAGCCGCGCTTAGGGTGAAGCCGTGGATAAACACGAGGCACGGCTTCGAAGAATCGCCAACCGCGTCTGCATAGATTTGGCACCCGTCCGAGGATGTGAGTGTCCGACGATTACTATTCGCCGTCGAACCCATAGCTCACAGAGTTAAGAGCAAAGAGTGAAAGAGTTAGCCGTCAGAATTGAAGAAGAAGAAAATCGGGTGTTTTAGAGGAGGCAGGGGCTGGCTCTCGCCTAGAGTGATTTTGCGTTCTGGTATTTATACTGTCCCAGGCCGACCCCGGTGGTTCAAGTTACACTGGCGGAGGAAGATATGCTTCCGTAGGGTTGTCCTGAGATGAGATGCCATCGGGTCGCCCAGTTGAGAACCGCCATCATCAGTGAGCAGGGAGTGCCGAAGAGGAATTGAGAAGATCCACATGGCTGCTGCGATTGAATGGACTCTTTAACTTCATTCGGACTGAATTGAATTGCAGCACATCGCCATGTACTTTCGGAGAACGATCAGCACCTCCCCGTCAGACAAAACTAGGACTGGCTCCACCATCAGCATCTTGGGAATCACGTCAGCTCCCCCCGCACACTTCATTCTACACTATAAGATAATTGCAATGTAGATTTCCCGATGCCGATTCATCGAGGTACAGAGGACAAATGAATACAGTCCTCCATAGATCGCGCTCTACGGCGTGAGACGGCAGTGGCCCAAGTTTGGATCACTGATAACCAAGTTTATTCTATTTTACACTTACATTACAACACGGCTCCAAGACTATCCAGGCATCGATCGAGCAACGGAAAGTATTGCAAAAATTACGAGAACAGGCATCCACCTTGTCAAATTACTCCATGGCTCCAAAACAAAGCTGACAACCAGCAGATCGGGCCAGAATGTGTTGGAATGGATGTACAGTACGCTTGCAAACAAAACATAAATGAAAAAATCCACACGTCGTCAAGTCCTTCTGCGAATCTGTGAATCTCTGGTCTAAACGCTCCCAAGAGGCTTATGCGCTCGAGAATCGGCTAGTCTGTCAATAGCCGCGGCGCTCGCGGCGCACCAACCAAACTCAGACTGGCTCTGTGTGCGAGAAGCATCGATGGTGATTGACGTAATGCCACGCAAATTCAAAACGCTTCACACTGAGAACCTGAGACAGGTTTATCAGCCACATGCAATTAACACACAAGTTTGACAAAGAAAACTGCTAGTACCTGAACGCCTGCAATCTATTCCTTGAACTGCAAACTATCTCATCGGATGCATCGTCGCCACCAATAGAAATAGGTGCCTCGCGTGATCCTAGCTTTACCAAGCCGCAGTTGAGTGCCGCTGGCAAATTTTCTCGAGATACACGCGAGCGTGTGATGGCATGCGTAGTGGTTAATTGAGCTTCACTCTGCTTCTCGGGCTTTGTGGCAGTATCGTGGGTTCTCAAAGATTTTGAAATGTCACTTTGCTTCTCACGTGGAGGTTCCTATCGATAAACCCAATGTCAGAACGTACGGCAACAGGCATGAGAAAACAAATTATTACCTTCGGTGAGGATCGCGGATCAGCATTACTGCTGGGTGCAGATCCTGCGTTTATTAGTCGACTACCGAAGGAATACGTCAACTTCCACTTGTGAGCTAGTCGTGTGTGGAGAGCGTCTTGCTCCCTTTCCCAGACAGTATCTTCATCTATTTCAAGAAGCTCCAGTTCATCTGTTGGATCGTCGAATGAAGCTGTTCTTGTCACGGTTGAACGTGTTGACAGTGCGTTTTGCGCATGTTGCGTGGATAGAGATGGTGTCGCGGGCCGCACGGGAGAAGGCTCGAAAACTTCTTTCTGTTGATCGACGTATTCGTCTTCTTCCCAGCACAGGATTTCACTTGACGGCTCCGATTTCCTGTCTGCTTCTAGATCCTCCTCGTCCGTTTCAACCAGGTTTACTGTCAGATCAGGCCCAGGAACTAATTTCTCATCACAATCTGGAAGAGGTTCTGAAGAACCTCTTACGAAAATATGTTCAACTGCGTCGTCTCGTGTTGGCGTATCCTGTGAGAGTGAGTTATGATTGGTTCCGAGACCGCACCGCCGAGCCCGGCCATACGACATAACCGGAGACGATAAATCAGGCGTGATATCCCGCGCGAGCGACGGTGAAGGAGAAAGGTATCCATCTTCCTGTGTGACAAGATCTTCGATTGTTTCTACTTCTTCGCGTTTTTTTGAGCTAACGTTCTCCTTCTCCGATACCCTGCCGCCACTAGGAATACCAGATGGGTTCGCGTCGTTAAAGAAGCGGCTTGTTGACGGGGTAACGTGGTGTGCATATTCCTCGGCCTCTGCAGAAATTCTTTTTCGCTTTGTTGCAATATCGTGTTCCATGACTTCCACAAGGGTACGCTTCCCGGATGCGTTTCCTGCGTTTATGCGAGAATGTTTCTTTTTGGTCGGAGTGGGCGTTACTTCGGGTTTATGTCCCTTCCGCTTCTCCGGAGACGAATTAGAAACCGGTGCTACAAAACTTAGTTACCTCGGAAACTACCAGTAACATTGTTTGACTCACTGAAGAAATTTAGAATGCCAGTTTTCTTTGTCGGTTCCTTGCCTTTAGGCGTTTTCGAGCTATTTACATCGCGTTGCTGCAATGGAAGGGCCTTGACGGGCCTGGGGACGAATGATGGATTGATGTCATCCATGTCATTCAATGAAATAGGACAGGTGTCGCCTTCCGCAATTCGTGTAGCCAAAGATGGCTCGAGGTCTCTGTACGACAAGGTCAAAAGTGCACAAGAGCTGCAATACGAGTGAACGAACCGCCCAATATACATCTCAACTTCCTCGCTTAGGCAAAATTCATTAGAGGGACTCGTCAAATATACCAACTTCTTGAGGCACGGGTCGTATACTCGCTGATGCAAGAAAACTTTCTCAGCGAGAAAGAACGCGTCAACATAGTCCTTCGGAACTGACTTCTTCCCATCCAGTCGTATCATGCGCACTGCCTTTTCAACAGTTTTATATTTCTTCAGAAGTTGGTACGCTGTCTTTAGACCGATGCCAGCGATGCTTGGGAGATAGTCACAGCCACTCAGCATTGCCATCCAGCGAAACTGAGCGTCTGACCAGCCGATTAGAGAAAATGAGTCTGCAGCCAGGGACGGAGAGCCAAAGTCTGCGCGAGAGATGCTGACGACAGACGCGGAGACTGTGTCAAGCTTGACATGCACGTTGCGGCATCCGAAGACGAGGAGGTCGGAGTCCTCTGTGATGATTCCGTCGACAAGGCCCATACGCTCCAGGTACGCGAGTTGAGCGTCTGCTTCATATGGAGCAACTACATATGGGACGTTTTCTGCTTTGAGAGCCTTTGGCATTTCTTAGCTGAGATGGGATTGTCAGCAATACAATAGACTCACCTTAATTACCTGGTAAGCCATTTGAGGCGTAACGTCTACACATTTGACGTACAGTTCTCTTGCCTGGCTCTCCTTTCCTTGAGACATCAGCTCATTTGCGCGTTTGATATTTTGTTCTCTCTTCTTTTCGCGTTCCTTTTCTGTTCCGAGCTTTGCAGGGAGCGGACCACCGTCGAAAACGAGGTACGGCAAGATGCCATGATGCCGCAGAAGTCGGACGCGAGCCATGCAGAAATCGACATAACGACGCGTCGGACGACCCTGGACGAGCTCGGTAGCACACGAGTAGGCACCTCTGTGCAGCCACACATAGGCATCAACAGCAAGCGTCTGGCCTGAAAAGTCAGAAAGATGGCGGCGTCGCTGAATAGGCTTGAGGAGTGGAAGTAAGCCTTGAATACCCATGTGCCTTCAGAGTTATATGCATGGACTGGAGTCAGTCGTGAACAGAGACACGAGTTGTTTGGATTGGGGGACGAGTCCAGCGAGCGCGTCGCGAGAGTAAACAAGCGTACATAACGCGTGCTGCATACGGATATATATTCTCACGAATACATAAATTGACTTGATTTATAATATAAGTACAACGTTAATCACTATCACGAATAGCATCAAGTAGTACATTGTCCTTGTCGCCAGCAGCCTCCCACATGGCAAATCCTCTCAGTCCCGCCGTCCTTATAAAATTCCCCTTCGCAGCGAATGCCCTGGGTCCATCATAGCTGATCATCACTCCTGCTGTCGTATTATACAAGTAATCAGTCTGGCTACAATCGTCGAAGCGATATGGGACGCCCGGCGCGGCAGTGCCATTTGGCAATAACATTCCTGAATCAACCAGGTTCCAGAAATGCTGTATACCGCCCTGCTGTCCGAAATTACCACACATGTCAATTCCTGGCTGGCCATCCCATGAATCGCCTACAGGGAATGCTGATGCATTGAATGCTGGGTAAGGAGCAAGTACGGTCTTTGAGCTGGATCCGTCAAACGCTGAAGACTCGTTTACAGAAAACGAATGGCCGTACGACGCGACACCGAGTGTGATTTGGTTCACCGGCATTCCTGCCTTAGTCCATGCTGCAACTGCAGAAACGGCACTGCCCTGTTGATCTTCCGTGCTGGCGCACGTATCGTTTAGCGGAGCATTCGGGCCGACTCTGGGACTCCAGCTTCCCCAGACATCGTAATCCATGATTGCGATGTAGTCCAGGACGTTGGCAAAGCCAGTGACATTCGGTGAAGGTACACCCTCTCCATCTGTAAAGGGGTTGAGGCTCACAGCAGCGGTAAGAATGAGGGACGGGCCAAGTGAAGTATTACGAAGCTCTTGTAGGAACGCCAGAAAGTTGGCAGAGTCGTTTGGTGAGATTGTGTTGCATCCGATACCTTGGCGACCGGGGTATTCCCAGCTGTACAAATGCGAATATCAGACAAGAGCTCAACGAAGAAAGTGTTCGTTCGACGTACTCGAAGTCAATTCCGTCGAGCTGATAGGTATTAACAAGCTCAGTCATCGCACTAACGAACTTAGTGCGGTTATTCTCATCGCCAACGTTCGTCGAGAAATATTGCGATCCGCCCCAGCCACCTACTGACAGAAGCGCCTTGACATCCTGTTGGAGAAAATGTAAGTCAGCTTCTCAGGACAGAACACCATAGGACTCACATTTTCATGTGCTTTAGCAACGAACTGCGGAAGCAAATCCGCGTCGCTATCGGGGAGCGAAGTGTCAGAAGCGTTTTCACTTGTTCCCCTGCAGAAATTATGTCGATATTTTCACATTATTAATTAGGAAACACAACAGCAACGCACTTAAAAGCATATGTCAAATGAGTGTACTTATCCCATGACACGTTGTCAAGTGGGAAGTATTCGGCATGCCACCCAGTATACCATGCAGACGAAACAATATCATTAGCCCTCACAGATTTGTGAGCAACCTGTTGGTGTAAGGAGCGAGAGCGGATCTCAAGGCTAGGTCTGGCAAACGCCAGTGCTGCTGTAACAGCAACAAAGTAGCAATAGGAGAGCAGAATCATAATGGCATAATATTGGCATGGCGGACAATTTTGACCTTTTATATTGATTACCGGAATCTCACAATTCCAGCAAATTATTGAGCAACCTTACATCCGATTATGACGGTAATTTTATACTTTCGTTCGAGGGATCATATACAGAGTCTACAGAACTACATACTTGATTATCTTAATTGAATCAATTTCTGAAATGACGGTAAAATAACCAACAGATTATTCCAATCTTTGATTCATTATCATGATAGATCCCTCAGAGTCAGGGGAATTGCGAATCTGCTGCATTCGGTTGGTTAATCCTTGGTCTGCTTCATTTTTGGTAAAGAATACACAGCCGATGGAAGCGGTGGGGACGCAAGGGCCCGAAAGGACGACTTGCTTGCTGCGTCGAAAGGAAGTCGGCCGTGTTATTCGGCTGGTAGTACCGATATCTCATTGCCGGAATAATTAATATTGTGAAAATATGAGACAATATTTAATGAAGACTTTGTCAATATTACTGAGCTCATAAAGCAATGGCCATATTACCCGATTAAACTCTTATATTTTAAAACATTAAAAACCAGAGAAATTTCCTATCTTGTTTGAACCTTTTGTGCATGACTTGGTTATGAATCTTCATCCTTCTGATTTTATATATGCATCTTCGCCGTTGGTAGCATATATTCAAATATTAAAAATAGCGTAAAGGAGCGTGCCAAGCTCTTTCCACTAATCTAAAGTCCTACTGGTTGCTACCACGAGTAGCATCGAACCGCGAGCTAAGCCTCTCAATCCAGCCGTCCTAATATAATACCCTTTCGCAGCAAAAGCACTGGGTCCATCATAGCTGATTATCACTCCTGCTGTTGTATTATACAGATAATTGGTCTGGGCTGCGTCCGGTTACATTCGTTGAAGCGGTATGAGATCCCAGCGGGTGAATTAATTCTGTTGATTACCATTTCTGATTTTCATAATTTGCATACTGTAAAGATGATACAAGTACAAGTAAACGAAACCACTACTGTATTTTGGTGTAACTACTTCTTCACTTTCCATTCAGTGATGGTCTTTATTGTCCCAAACAGGTCTCAGTATCATGGAAGCAGCTATTCGTCATCTCCTTGGACATCAAAAGTGGAGACATATTTTTGTATATTTTCAGTTGCCGTGCCACTCCAGTCTGTTCCCTCCATCTGGCAAGCCTTCCGCGATGGCGAGGTGTGTGTTGCTGCGAGAATGTCAGCAATGACATTTTCGTTTAATGCTAGTGCGCGCCTGCCCAATGACGTACCACCTGTGTTCGTCGTCATAGGTGGAAACTGCAGCGGCTGGCTAGACACACTGTTGTTATTGTTGCAGGGCGGACGGTCTCGTTTGAAAAATTTCTTGCATCGGTGGATATATCGTCATTCAACACGCCGTCCGACAAGTCCCAGTCTTGCCGAGGCGGGTCATTGGGCATGTCCAGACTAACAGGGTTTAAGGAATAGAATCCACGGACACACATCTTGTGGATGATGAATGGGGAAGAAAAGGGTGCGTAACGATCACTGATATCGAGAGTGATGGTTTTCCCATCGAATTGTTGGAGAGTGTCTTTGCCAGAATAGTTAACGAACACGAACTTGTGAATCTGCCTCTGGTTAATATGTAACTCAAAGCAGTGATGGAAATAAACTCACGTTGGAATAAAACCGAGTACAGAATTCATAGTGATTGAATGCAAGATGATGATTAATACACACAAGCAGGCCATCACGCGGAGATTATTTGGTCTGCGGAGCGATCCATCTGCGGGTCTTGAGTTCTAGCTGCTGTGCCTTACATTAGCCTCGCAACAGGGAAGGGGCACTCAACGCAATTTTTGCTTATAAAGTCTTCTTCTGACCGCCCCACAATATGGGAATGTTGAAGCGAGGTTCTGTTGCGTTCTCAACAGATGATACAGCGAGCCCGCCCAAGAAACCTGTCCCGTCCGTCTATGCGAGCTTCGAATGCAGATGATGACGACAAAGTCGACATATCCAGAGAGAGGGTGATCTGGTGGCAGAGGAAGAGGGAATGCAAACAGAGGTGCTGGCAGGTGCATTACGTAACATTCCTAGGTTGTTCCGTTCCAAAGGGAGAACCACAAATCAGCGTTGCTTAACATCCAATCTGCTCGTATAGTAAATAAAATATAGCCAAAAAAATGAATTGTGTGCTGTGTCAAAAGGAAGTCCGCCGTATTGTCCGGCTAGCGAATACTAGTCTTGCTGTGTGGTTCCTCCAAACCAGAATAGTTAACAATCTGCATAAAGAAGGCAATACTTATTGATATTTTTCAGAATTTTAGTAAACACATAACGCAATGGCTAATTTACACAATCAAACTAATGAGAGAGATAACTTCATTCGGAACTTTCCGTTACCAGATCCTGACTTGAGTTATGACCCTCTTGCTTTGTGTGGCAATTACAAAGTTAAACATAGTCATTAGACTATTATATACAACTCTTCGTGTTTCCGACTTTATTTATGTATATACCTCTTCATCCTTGACAGCATATATTCAACTATTGCAAATGAGTTAAAGGGGCGTGTCGAGTTATTTTCACTAAACTAAAGTCCTACACCACTACGAATAGCATCAAGCAAGACGCTGTCCTTGTCGCCTCCAGCCTCCCACAGTGCAAACCCTCTCAAACCGGACGTTTGGATAAAATCTCCTGCTGCAGTAAATGCTCTAGGCCCGTCATAGCTGATCAAGACACCTGACGTCATGTTATAGACATAATCCGTCTTTTCACAATCGTCAAATAGGTAGGGAATTCCCGTTTCAGCAGTGCCGTTTGGGAATAACATGCCTGAATCGACTAGGTACCGGAAGTGCTGAATGCCACCTTGGTCTGCAAAGTTACCGCATTTATCGACGTGTGCGGGTGTATCCCATGCATCTCCGGCAGGAAACACAGATGCGTTAAACGCTGGGTAAAGAACAAGGTCTGTAGATGAGTCTGAAGCAAGTGCGGCAGCTTGAGTAACGGTGAATGAGTGGCCGAAAGTGGCGACACCAAGCACGATCTTATTGGCTGGCATGCCTGCGGCTGTCCATGAAGAAACTGCAGAAACGGCACAGCCTTGTTGATGTTCTGCACTCGTGCAGGTATCGTTGAGCGGTGAGTTTGGTCCTGCAGTAGCACTCCAGTTTCCAAACACATCGTAGTTCATGATTTCGATAAAGTCTAGCACGTTGGCGAAGGCGGATACGTTTGTCGAGGGCTGACCTGTCTCATCTGTGAATGGTACAAGACGAGTAGCGGCAGTTAGGATGAGCGAAGAACCGTTTTCGGTGTTACGAAGCTCTTGTAGGGTTGATAGGAGATTGGCAGTATCGTTTGGTGAGATTGTGTTACATCCGATTCCTTGGAAACCTGGGTAGTTCCATCTAGGAAGGAAGGAAGGATTCAAATATTAGATAGGATCAGTAAGTAGAGGAAGTGTTTAGCATACGCGAAGTCAATTCCGTCGAGTTTATACGTGTTAACAAGCTTAGTTATGGCGTTGACAAAGCTGGTACGGTTTGTCTTGTCGCCAACGTTACTTGAATAGAACCGTGATCCTGTCCAGCCTCCTATCGACAATAATGCTTTAACTCCCTGAAAAGATCAATGTGAGTTTCTTAACTACATTAACACTTCGACATGATTGAACGAACGCTTAACTTACGTTATCGTGTGCCTTGGAGACAAACTGAGGAAGGAGACTAGCATCGTCATCTGGGAGAGAGGTGTCAGAGGGATCCTCGGTTGTTTCTCTATAGAATCAGTGCAGATAGTGGGTTCAGTAATAGGATCAAGAAAATGAAAGAATATATCGCCTCACCTGAATGCATACATCACATGTGTGTACTTGTCCCAAGGTACATTATCAAGCGTGAAGGGTTGCGCGGATTGCGCGTGCCACCCTGTATACCAGGCAGAAGAGACAGTATCATCAGCCCTCACAACGTTATGAATAACTTCATGATGCAGTGAATTGGTGCTAACTCCGGGGTTAGACCTGGCTAGTGCTACTGCTACAGCAAGAAAGCAGATACTAGAAAGTAGAAACATGACGATGAAGCTTGAGTATGGCGTGCAAACTTGCTGCAATTTATACCAATTCTTTTCGGCTGAATTAGTTGATGAGCCAGGATTACCCCTTGTATGTTTCAATTCAGTTACTGTCCTGCTCCATGTGTTGTCTCGGCGCACCAATTGCCTTAGATGTTGCAGTTCGTGCTTGTGATGTGCCCTCGGAACTTTGAGAATCCGTAGCTTTCGGTAGACAATTGAAACCTTTTGCTAGCAAAGGTGGTAACTCCAGGAGTACCGGAAGAGCAAAGCCGTGTACCTCGTAGCTCTTGCAGGACCATGAGGAAGTTGCCTTGTGGTTCGGCAGGACTGTGTTGTGCCCGACAACGTCGGAAAATAGGGTGTTCGCAGCCAAGCAGGACACGCAGATAGAGTAGATATGAGGTTGTGAATGAATGTCGACTGCGCTGGCAATTGGTGGTGTCCGTGCGATTAAACTAATTAAAGATAAGATCTACAACCCCCTGATGAACTCTCATCACTATTAATATTACCATTTCTAAACTCAGTCGTCGCAGTCGTCAAATCCAGCACCACTACGAATAGCATCAAGCAAAATATCATCCTTATCACCACCAGCCTCCCACATAGCAAACCCTCTCAACCCGGTATTCTTGATGAAATTACCCTTCGCAATGAATGCTTTTGGACCGTCGTAGCTGATCATAACACTAGCCGTTGCGTTGTAAACGTACTCCGTCTGGCTGCAATTGTCGAAGCGGTAGGGAACGTCAGAAGTGGGTGTACCGTCTTTGTTAATCATACCGGAATCAATGAGGTTCCAGAAGTCTTGAGTTCCGCCTTGAGATTCGAGTACACCGCAGGCGTCGACGGCGGGAGGGTCGTCCCATGCGTCACCGACAGGGAAGTCGGATGCATTGAAAGCTGGGTATGGAGCGAGCTCTGTCTTGGAGTTGGTACCGTTGAATGCAGAGGAGGCGTTGACGGAGAAAGAATGCCCATACGAAGGTACTCCGAGGGCAATTTGGCTTGGTGGCATACCTGCGGCTGTCCATGCGGCGACTGCGGAAACGGCGCTACCTTGTTGATTCTCTGGACTTGCGCAGGTGTCGTTGAGTGGTGCGTTCGGACCAACGCTCGCACTCCAGCTGCCCCATACGTCGTAATTCATGATTGCGATGTAGTCTAGGACTTTAGCGAATTCGCTGACGTCAGTGGATGGGAGATCCGTTGCGTTGGCGAAGGGTGTGAGTGAGACTGCGGCTGTGAGGATGAGGTTGGATCCGCAGGGTGAACTTCGGAGTTCTTGAAGGAATGAGAGGAGGTTGGCGGTGTCGTTCGGTGAGATTGTGTTGCATCCGATTCCTTGGTGGCCTGGATACTCCCAACTACACACCAAGGTCAGAGACATTGAATTTCAGCGGAGGAAAAAGTGGAATTCAACGTACTCAATATCAATTCCATCCAGTTGATATAATGTGACTAGCTCGTTTACGGCATTGACAAGTTTGGTGCGGTTCTTCGCATCACCGACGTTTGTCGAGAAGTAAAGTGAGCCAGCCCATCCGCCAAGGGAGAGAAGCGCTTTCACATCCTGTGCGGTAAAAAAACAATCAATCAGCGCTGAGATGAATTATTTTATTTCAAAATCAGGTTAGGATTAAATGCCGTACAGCCCGTCAATCGGCGGGAAGTAAAAGGGGAATGGTACGGCGGGGTTGTCGGTCTAAGTGAGGACTTAAAGCTTACGTTTTGACGTGCTCTTGCAACGAACTGGTAGAGGAGTAACGAGTCGTCCAGTGACATGGTGATATTCGAGGGATCTGGTGTTGACTCCCTTGAGTCAATTCCATTGAGCGATTAGCAAAAAAATATAACAATATGTTTGTAGAGAAGCAGTAAGACATACTTGAAAGCGAATGTCAGGTGGGTGTACTTGTCCCAAGGGACGTCGTCGAGGGTAAAGTCATTGGCGTGCCAACTTGCATACCAAGCAGACGAGACCATTTCGACTTCATTCTCGCTACTGCGCGCTATCTGCTGATGCACGGAACGCGCATTGATGGACGAGGTTGCAGAAACGAGCGAGGCTGCGAAAAATAGAGAAGAAAGAAGGATGAAAGGAGAACGCATAGTGGAGGAGTAAAAATAAAGGGAGAGAAAGCGGGATTTAGAGAGAGAGAACAAGCCAAGATTTATAATGTCGTCGGTGTCTACTGTTTCATCGCCCATAGCTGATGATGATTGGATTAGAATCGAAGCGGATCAAATGCATGGCCCGACACCGCCGCTCATGTCGGCAAGCGCAAAAATATTCACCAGTACGGAGAGAACATGCCGTTATAACATATGACAAGTGTGATTAGATTATTTACTGTGTTTCACCGGTTCGCGCTCAGTTACCAGTTAACGCTCAGTTGTACAATACCTCCCTCAATTCTTAGTAAAATTTCTTGAAATTTTACACACAGGTAGCCTACAGTAAATATAACTTAAATACGAAATTTGAGCAAAAACAAATGAGTTGAAGCTGAGATATTGGTGTTGGAATGTTAGAATTTTGATGATCAGCACTGATTTAGTGAACAGAAACTTTTCCCACACACAACACACTTAATATTAATTTAAGGAGACATTATTTGTAGCTGAAATATTGAGAATAAGTACTATATTATATGTAGTTACTATATATTTTTTTATATAATTAATAGTTAAGTATTAAGTTACTTATTAAGAATACGATTTTAAGTCTAATTTTACTACTTTCTATAATTCAGAGTTTATAGTTATAACTTACGAATTTTTTATTACAATAATTACTATTATAACTATCTATAAAAATTTGGTACTAGTATTCTTGATATATTTACTATAATATTCTATAATTTTAAGAGAAAATATTAAGAATTAAAATTATTATAATTAAATCAAAACTATATATATAAAAAGTACTATAATCTACTATATTACTTATTAGTACAGTTTTTATAGTTAAAAAAAAATTGTAAAGCATACGTATGTTAAAGGTTATATGTTTCAGTATTAAGCAATCACTATAGAGAAGAGGAGGGAGAGGGAGGAGAAGAGGAGGGAGAGGGAAAGGGAGAAGGAAGAGAAAAGGAGGGAGAGGGAAAGGGAGAAGGCACGGCGAGCAGCAGAAATGGACCTGAAGAAGAAAAAGAAATCTGAAGAAAGGACTGCGACGACGAGCACAGCCGATTTACCGAGGAAGCAACCAAGACCAAGACCAGCCTACCGTACTCTCAACTCAGCCATTAATTTGGAGAGTGAGAAGGAGAACGTGCGCACCAGTAACTACCCACCAACCCTTCCTCAGACATGGGATTTTGTTGTCCAAACAGGCCCACGCAGTGCCTTGGCCAACGTCCATCATCAACATCAATCCATCTCTCAGGAACAGTCGAACGAGGTATCAGCGAGTGGTGGAACTGTGACAGCAGAGGGAGTGCAAGATCACAGTGAAGGAGGAAGAGCTTAATCGATGTCGACGTGAGATGGCAGAACGCTTGCGACTGTGTGAAGAGAGAGAGATCGCTGAGCAAACTTGACGACCCAGGCATTAGAAGGATAAGGCTAGCAGACCAGAGGAACAGCAACGAATTCTGGAAGCAGAGGAGGAGGAGAACGAGAGGCAGAGAAGAGCAAGAAGCAGACATTAGAATGTAGTAGGCAAGAGACTCTAAGTCATCACGACGAGCCTGTTCCTGTATAAAGAACCATATATTCCATTAATTAATAGAGTGTATATGACTAATAGACTGTACTTACCTTTATTTCTGCCCAGACCAAAGTAAATTGGTCTGGATAGGATTGAAGTCGAGTCTGCGTACTGAGTGAATGCACGCGCGAATTTCTCTAAGTTTAGTTTCCCACGAGTGTGCGTTTCCTGGTGAATGACGTCGAACGCTCAGTTTTGAGTCCTTCACGCGTAAATTCAATAAAATATTTATTGTTTAATTTTACAAAAAATTAAAACATACTTTTTGTAGCTAATATGAAGACCTTTCTAATAGTATTTTTTTTGTGAAATAATAATGAGTTTTAGTAATTATAGACTGCAAATACCCTTAAAGTGAGCGTTTCTGGGTGAAATACAGTACTCTGTGATGCTATGCAGAAGAGTTAAAATGAACAAAGCACGGAGAATGAACTATATTACATAATACAATATTAGTCATCATGAACTGAAGATGAACCAGCCGTCACGGCGACGCGTGTAATGAATGCACTTGCACTACTAGTGCTCCCTTTCTCTTTCTCTTCCTCTTTCCCTCTGGCTTACACGCCAGTCGTCGACAATGGCGCAGCCATTAGAAACGATGCCCCGCAGTGGCGACGGAGACGATGTCTTTACCTCGCAAGACGGTCTGGAGCCAAGTGTCGTGCCCGACGGCGACTTGGACGATGTTCTCAGTGCGAGCAACACGAACGCTTCCGACCTGCGTGCGACTCTTCAATCGCTGCTGGACAGCAAAGAACGACAGCTCCAGCAAGCAGGCACTCTCGGTCAGCGTGTCCTTGCTCAGCAGATGGAGCTCGAGGAGCGTGTCCGCCAGTTTCAAGATATGGATGCAAACAGGGGTGACCGTGACGAACCGAGTGCCGAAATGCGTCTCCAGTATCGCGACCTCGCAAACACAATCCAGTCCTGGAACGAAGAAAATGCCAAGTTATCGAGCGCATTCAGCGGCAGACGTCGCGAAAACGGTGCTCTGCCTTCACAGGACCTGTCTTTGCCCGACGACGTTCCACAGGAACCCCCGACTGCACACCATCCATCCGCACCCTCCGCTTCACAGTCACGGCGCGCTAAGAATGCAGCTCATCGCGCCAATGATGTCGGTCAGTACATTCTGTGGTGTTATTGCAATATAATTTACTCATTCTACCTCTTTACAGAGTTTGCTTTTGAAATTGGTAGTAGCTTGTTGACAGAGGTTCGACGATTGCAGAGCCTGCTCGGAGAACGTGACAAGGCAATACAAGACATGAAAGAGGAAAAAGACGATTTAGAGAAGGCTGTGGAGGCGCTGAAGAAGGCTCTGCGTGAACAGGAGCAGAACGCCGGTACGTCCTATGTTTTTTCTTCGGGCACAATGGCGGTCCCTTTGACTGACTTCTCGACGTGACGGCGACCACCCGCAGACAAGTTCAAAGAGGAAAATTGGAACCTCGAAGTTTCTCTCCAAGAACTGCGTACTCAGCTCGCGGACGTCCAGTCAACTGCCCAGCGAAGCGAATCGGAGACGAAGAGACTTACAAAGGCGTTAGCGACTGCGCGTGAACAGAACGATTCGTCGAAGAATGAGGTGGATCGACTTCAGCGTACCATCGAAGATGCGAAGAATAAGCACGAAACAGACGTTGCGCTGCATCGTAAGCAGACCGCCGCACTTGCTCGCGACAAATCCGATCTTCAACAAGCCGTCGATACGTACAAGGCAGAACTTGCACGCGCCAGTCGTCGTTTACCCCGATATGGCTCGCCACTCACACCCGATGGACGCAGTGATGCGCAGACGCCTCGTACGACCGACGATGAGGAAGATCTTTTCGGTCCTGGCACGACTGGCATGGGTATGTCAACGAATCGTCGAAGGATGGATACCTCGGGGTTATTCCCTCCAGATGCATTTGGGCCAGATTACGTCGATGCGTCACCGGAGCCGTCGCCATCCAAACCCTTCTTATCGCCGAATCACCCATCAAATGAAATTGAAGCTCTCCAACAGAAACTTGCACATGCTCAACGGCAAATCAGTACTCTCAAAGGCACACTCGCTCGAGAGAAGGAGCTACGCATCGAGTATAGGAGGAAGATGATTGAGGCGGGTCTGCAAGGTCAGCGACTGGACGACGAAGAGGACGACGAAGAGGAAGTCGACTCGGAAGGTCGACAGCCGAGGTCGAATGTACATGCGACGACAATCAGAGGCAGGGGGCGAGGACGTGGCACAGTCCGAACTGGTGCTCGAGGCGGCGGTCGTACGCTTGCTCAGAAGTTGATTGCTGCGAAGAACCGTGGCGACGAGGAGTCGGATGAAGAATATCTTGACGAGGAATCAGAGGCATACCCATCGACTGCACTGCCAGATACCACCGGTGACGAACGGGCAGCCGATACGAGTATGACTAGCATTGCACTGTCATCGCCAACTGCTCCTACGTTCGCCGCATCACCATCTCCTGAGCCTCTTTCCAATCGTGACAGCGTCACTAGTGTAGAGGGTATGGATCCGGAATTTGCAAACATCCTTCGCCGCGTTCCGTCTGCGTCATCGTCAGCCAGTCGCCGAGGGAGTCCCTTCACGAATGGTACAGTCCGTGGCCGTGTTATTGGCGCAAGACGTCGTGGTGGTACTGCATTCCAGGGACCTCGTCCTTCGTCCCTTGTTGGAGCACCAGAAGCTCTTGCTTCAGAACTGGGCCTTGCGAATACGAGTGCTGCTATGGAGAGTGTACGCGAGGATGGAGAATTTGAGAAGGTGCTCGTCGAGGTTGCCTGCCAAACGGACTTTGAAGAGGTTGCTCCAACTTCTGCACCCGTCATTCCTGCTGTAAGCAAGCCAGAGATGGCAGATGTCTCCGTTCAGGCAGAACCGGTTCCTGAAGTAGCACCATTAATCACAAAGCCGGAAACAGCTGAAATGGCGATTCAAGCGGAACCAGAGCCAAAACCGGAAGTTACAACGGATGAGGCGGCCATTCAACCCGTCATCGCTGCTCCTGTTGTCGTTAGAAGCGAGTCGTCAGTACAAACCGTCGAGCCGGCTCGTTTGCACATATCCATTGGTACTGAACCGGAGAAACGACCTGCTCTGGTTGATTCGGGCACATCGACCGAGCCACCCACGCCAGTCTCAACATCTAGTGTCGTTACGCAGACGGACCCGATTCCAGAGCCGGAACCTATAGTACGTGAGGTGCAGGTGATGCAGCCGACACCTCAGCGGAGTGATGCAGAGACACAAACGTCCCCACGCTCGGAACTCTTCCTATCCAACGTACCTAACTTACCATCGTCACCGCTTGCTCAGCGTCGCTTGCGTTACCTTAGTACGGCCTCTACAGCTACGGCTGTGCCAAACAGGCCTCTTCAAGTTGTTCAAGACGAGTCAGAGGAAGAAGATTCTCATACCGAATTGGCATACGCCAGTGCGGGCGAGCCAGAAACTGAGACGGATGCGGACGATTTCAGAGATGCAATGAGTCAGGTGCCAACAGCGACGGTTTCCGAGTCGCTCAACGACGATGACTTCCACTCAATGTCGACTATGACTGACAACGACTTTTCGGATGAGGAGGATGAAGAAGACACCGAAAGCATCAAGGCGTCTGTCCTGGGCTTGACTGGTCCTTCTGGGGAAAGTGGTTCTGTTCGGCGCAGTGAGCAAGATATTACTGAGCCCGCTCGGACATACGAGTGTGCTGCCGTCAGCACGGATCCGCCAAAGGAAGATCCAAAGCGCGAACTCTCGGAGATGTCAATCCAAACTGACGAATGGCAGCCACCACCAGCTGTTTCGCCTATTGCCAGCACTCCTCAAGGATTCGGACTGTATCGCGTGGGTCCGAATTCCCAGCAATTCCAGTTCGTGCCTCCTGCGTCATCTCTACCGGCTTCTGCGGTTTCAACTCCCATTTCGCCGATCACTTCCACGCCGCCTGTTCAAGCTCTGCGCGATGCAACGAATACAGTGGGTGCGCGCCCTATGCGGTTTTCGTCACCGTCTTTGCCTGTGGAAGGAAACAAGAGCGCTGTGACCGATGGTACACCTGACATAGCCCAGCGTCAGCATACGCAGTCGTTCAGTTCGGGGTCACCAACCATTGATAAGTCGCGTCCTCCGACGATGATGCTCCCGCCTCCACCGAAAATGCCGCCTCCGCCTAACAGTATGCCTCCGCCATCGTTCATTCCAGAGAAGCGTAGACCGAATTCTGCGTTATCGTCTCATCGTGATATGCCTCCTCCACGACCTTCGTCTCCTCCACCTCCTGAACTCATTCAGCGCGCAACGACTCCACTTGGATCGCTCACAGTGCCCAGCAGAGGAGCATCCGGAAGTCGTCAGCACGGATCGAGTTTGCCGCCAATGTCAGTCTTGCGCCAGCCTACGTCAATTAATAGCTTCAGGTCTGCTGCGAATGCGAGCGCACTTGCACAGTTATCGAGTGGAAGTAGTCAGGTTCCCTTCATTGATCGACAACTTCATTCTGCTGCATCACTATTGTCTGATCAAGAGGACATGATGTCTCGTCGGTCGTCTATTTCCTCGGACTTCCATCATAATCGTGCCTTGTCGGACGAGCACGCTGGTACAACAGTGCTCAATACTCCGGGTACGCAGAGTCGCACTGCGAATATGCCAAGTTCGTCGACAGACCCGGCAATTATCCATGCAATCACCCAAACCATGATCGGCGAGTGGCTGTACAAGTACACAAGACGTACGATTGGCAAAGGTCATGGCGAGCGAAGACATAAGCGTTTCTTCTGGGTGCACCCGTATACAAAGACTTTGTATTGGAGCTCAGGAGATCCGGGATCGACGACTGTTACAGAGCAGAGTGCAAAGAGCGGTCAGTTATGAAGTTCTTTGCGGTTTCGACAATATACTAATAAAATACTTAATGACAGCATACATTGATTCTGTTCGCTCTGTACTCGACCCTAATCCAATGCCGCCTGGACTTTACCAGTATAGTATCGTGATATCGACACCGCAGCGGGAGATGAAATTCACAGCACCGACAAAAGAGCGCCATGAGATATGGCTGAATGTAAGCAAGCCGGCCAGGATAACTATCTTTCCTTGCATGTCTGACTTTTGCTTTACAGGCATTGAATTTCCTTCTTGCTCGCCCGACGCCGACAGCCCAATCCCCAACAGCAACCCAAGTCCACGGCCCACCAGTTACTCCCGTACGCAACGCGGGGGCTGTTTCTCCAATGTCACGACGAACTGGTCGCACTGAGGCATCTGGAATGTCCAATGAGTCTCCTTGGAGTGTGACGAATGTTACTCCGCGAGGGACGCGTCGCAGTCGATCTCGTGTGTCGATGGCTGGCTCAGTGGGCAAGCGTTCCAACACTCCTGCTGCTGAGTATCTGCGATGGATAGACGGACCGGGGAGTCCTGGCGCAAATAGTGTACGCGGCTTCGAGTTTGGTAGTCAAAGTGCTGATGCCGCCGATGACGAAGAGCTCGATTTTGAAATCCATGACTCCATTACGAGCGAAAGGGAGGGCTTTGAGGGACTGGAAAACGTTCGTGCTTGCTGCGATGGGTGAGTAACACATTTCATATCTTTTTTTTTTCATGGACTACACTCTGATACACATGCTCTAGTCGACACACAGTCGGACGCGATTCCGGAATGTACGAGCATCATCATCATCATAACCATGATCACGTTCCTGGTCATGTACCCAAACCTGCACACGTCCACCGTCCAATCCCCCAGTTCGCCCGTCCAGAGCCGCCTCCAGAGCGCACACAGTCTTCGAGGCCTTCGTCCCCGGCATTCTCGTTCCGCTCCCGCACGAGTAGCCGGAAGTCCGGTGAAGGCGTCGGTAACTTATTTAGTCGCTTCGGAACACGGAGATCCAAGACGCCTGCCGTCTCGCAAGACGGTTGAACTGCGTCATCGTCGAACACTCTCTAACTTGTTGATACGATACCTTGCCACCAAGCATACAATACCGATATAATCTTGGAATCATTCTTTGTCCTCATTTCTTAGTCTTAGAATATCACACACACTCTCCTTAGTTTTTATTTTCTGCTCCACAAAAAGAATTGCACTCTCGTTTTGATATCCATTGTGTCCCGTCTCGCTCCCTTTTCCCTTTTTTCCTCCCTCTTGTCCCTTTCTTACTATTCCTCTTCATTTCATTTATGGCTAATCCTCTAGGTTATGTGTCTATCTTGAAACATTGTCTGGTCTGGTTATTTTGAGGTTTGTTTTTTGTCTTCTATGTCTTGTCATTTTGTCATTTATTTCTAGGATGTTGCTTGCAACGTGTATTTGTAATTTGTCCCTTTTATGTGAGGTTTTGATATGAGGAACTGTGTGTCAATTGAGTAAGATGTGTCTAGTAAAGAGAGCATTTTTGTGAGAAGAAAGAGGTTCTGTGTATGGCTGACTGTATAAATTAATTCCTCTACAGACTCTTATATTATATTATTTTTAAAATATCAGACTGAAGATTTAAATGTTCTCAGGTCTCAGAACTGTGTTTACTATTCTCTATCTAATATTTATGTTAGCGTTTTGAGGTCGCAATGATTCCCTTAGAGTAGTTCACACCAGTAGGGGTTCAGTGGGCTCCACTCATGGTGCATAGGCGTTAATACAAGTCGACTGTATAGTTGGTAATGTGTTGTGTACTGTTATATGTGTCCTATGAGCTTCATCGTCCTTATATTAAGTATTATATATACTATCTAATATTGTGTGTCTCAGATGTATGTCTTGGAAGACATGTCTAAGACATATGACACATTTATCCGGAATAAATGCTAACACTCCCCTTCAAACTTATACTAGTTGATCAGGCTAATATAATGTTTGATAAGTGTTCGTTCATTGTTTTACTAATATCATTTACATCTGCAATGTAAATGTTTCGTTTACTTTGTATATTAAGTCCACTGTAAGTGTTGCGTTCGTCCAATGTATTATTATAATGTTTGATGTAATAAATCAATTGTTAATTCAATTATGATTGCCAAGAGAGCTGCAGAATCTCTTTAGCATTCGTTCGTTCGTAGTTTTAATATTATTAATGTTATAGTTGTTACTATAATGTTTTATCATTTGTATGATAGTAGTTTTCTTGTTTGCAATTTAATATGATATGTTATAACTTTGTTTCGTTCGTTTTTCATGTCATATTGTTTGTTTTGTGTCATAGTATGTTTATTTCTTCATACTGCACTGTTCTGTAGTTGTTCTGTTATTCGTTTTGTTTGTATTCATATTATTATACGTGTAGTTCGTTTTATATTCTTACACTCATTGTGTAATTAGAATTGTACTTTGTTTGTATTGTTTCGTTTGTATAGTTAATACTATATTTAATAACAATGTGTGTGTTATTAATTTGTTCACATTAATTTGTATTCTTGTGCATTTGAATTGTGTTACTAGTAGTTTTTCCACTTTTACTTTCACAATGAAACTGTTGAATCATGCTTGTAAAATGTGTTATTGATGTTATTATGATGTCCTCTATTCATCATGTATCATCTTCGTTCGTTTCGTTTTGTATTCATACCTTTTAAGCATTCAATTGTAGTTCTATGCCTTTATATTGAAGCATTGTATTGTTCACAATTTGTAATATCATGTATGATATGTCAGATCACTTCATATTAAGGTTGATTAAGGTTTTATTCTTCTGTTATTTGTATTGTTTTATCATCTGACTGTTTGTAAGTCTGTTTAGACACATTATTTATGTTTTAAACATATGATATGTTTGTATTGTTTTACTGTTTTACAGTAGATATATTTATTATCAATATATGTGTGCATTGTGTTTGTTATCATTTAATGTGTCCTTCAACTTTTACAAACTATAATGTTATTTGTATGTTTGTATTGTTTTATTGTTGTGATAATGTTTTATTATCATTGCATAATGTTTATTCAATTAATATATTGCTCTGCACAGTTATAATATGTGTTTGTTGCTTTTATTTTGTAGATAGATGAAGTAGTGTGCTTCACAGTTCTATTTTTCATCATATATCATAATATTCGTTTGTTTTATTGCTTATTTTGTGTCAAATTCTGTTTGATATTGTTTTAATCATTATATTCACTTTATTTGCTGAATATATGTGTGCATTCGTTATGAGATATGAATTTATTTTGTTAATTTTGAGTGTATTACTCATTTCATTCATTATGATCGATGTTATCTTGTTTGCTTTGAAAGGATTAATGTTTTGATTACTGTTATGTCTGTTGCTTCTTTTAATTAACTTACACAAGTGCTTTGTGTGTCTAACATTGATTGCTTTAGGAATATGTGCCATTCCTTGGCTACATTGTGTTAATTCTTAATTATCTGTCTGAATATTACTTTGTTTGGTTGATTATTTGTTCACTATTATGTCCTGCATGCTAGGGAATAAGCATTGTAAGTTTTACATAATGTGTGATTGTTATTTTCAATGTATTATATGTTCCATTTGAGGAAAGCATAGTTGTGTTTGATATTTCTATATAGTTCATTATGTACTAGAGATGCTTTTCTGCTCGACATCTTTGTATGTAGTGTACTTCTTTGTGTTTAGGTATATACTCTGTAATATATTCGTTCATAATATGTTCAATTGGTGCCATGTATGGTGTGACCATTAAAGATTTCAGAGAAAATGTCTCTTGCATAGGTATTTCATTGTTGAATTCAACAGATTTGCTTCTTATTCATTGTAATAACTTTGTAATTATGTTTTGTAGGATGTGCAAGGTTAAATAGTGACATAGTCAATATTTCCGCATCATTTAATTGTTTGCTATGTTTCTATTATTTGTTATGTTTTATGTTTTGTGAATTTTATGTTTGTGAATATATGCTATTACTCCCCTTCAATTCGAGAAGGTTTGCTTTGAGCAATTGGCTTTCGTGTGTGTGTAATTAATTTGTTTGTACGTTTTCATCATTTAATCATTTGTTTAAGCATTGTGTATTAATGTGTGAATGTGTTTTGTTCAATAACTTTGATGTTATTTGTTATTTTTGTCTGATTTCGTTATTAATTCTTTATAGCATTTGTACTCTTTGTTATTCAAGTTTATACTCAAATAGATTGCATGTATGCTTGTGTATTTTGTTTGATTATTATGTGTACGTCTGAATAGTTTGTTAATCATTTGGTATAGTGTTGTTTTAGCAAGCATAAGTTTGCAATTTCGTTTGTTTTATTTGTATACATTATGATGCATTGTTTAGATTTGCTCAGTATCATTTGTCTTCCGTTTGATGACAAAAGTATTCAAGCTATAGTGTTTTGTTTCTGTTCTGTTTATGTATTTTATTCTTTTGTGATAGGCACAAGCTCAAGCAAGGCTGTTAATGAAGAATATACTGTTATGATATTGTTTGAACTTCAAATAGCTAATGATATGCTTTAAGTATTGATCATAGATTTATTCTTTACAAATTCTATCTTTCTGCTGTTTGTAGTAATCTATTAAATCTGTCACACATTGTGTTTAATCATTTGTAAAGTGTTTGATTGAGTTCTGAACTTATGTTCATTTCTTTAGATTTTGTTCCAACGTTTGTTTGTCTTTTGTGTACTTGGCAACAGTGTTTGTTCTGTTGTATGGCCCTTTGGACTATCCAATATTAGGCTCTAATGTTTTGTAGCATTAGTTGTTTTGTTTTGTGTCTGTATTATTGTATTTTGTCATGTTTTTAAGTGATATTTAATTGTTTATATTGTTTATACTGATTGTATTAATTGTATTGACTTAATACTTCATTATCATGTATATCTTATTGATATATTATATTGTTACAATGTATTTGTAACTATTGTTCGTTCGATTTTGTATTGTAATAGTAATTGTGCAAGGTATAAGATATGTATTTGCCTGTATAGTATTGATATTGTGTCGATATTATACATATATGCATCATTATATTGTTTCATTGTTTGTAGCATTATGTTTTAATTTAATGTAATACTTTGTATAAGTATATATGTTTGTTATTATATGTTTAGACTGTTTGCAACATTGTTTTGTATGTTTTATTACTTGTTTTATGTGTTATTATGTGTTTGTTCAATTGTATTTTGCATACAACATTGTGTTATTCAACAATTAATAGTTTTATGTGTTCGAATGCATTATTATTACTTCATACGTTTGTATATTTGTTTATCTATGTGATATGTTTGTATTTCATAAATATATGTTATTTATTGTGATTGTTCATTTGTGATAGTATAAATCGTTTTTATATTTGAGTTATTATGCTTTAGTAGCATTTATACTCTTGTTTTCATTTTATTCGTTTGCCTAATCATTATTAGATTGATTATACGTTTGCAATATATTTCTTTATATTGTTATTATGCTTTGCTAGCATTGTTCTTTTGTTTATAGTATTAATCATTTATATTATTAATATACTATCAAATGTTCGTTTGTTATGTGAGACGTTATTATTATAATGTATCTCTGTAGTGTAAGATAAAGTAGTTCAGTGTTTGAATATAGTATTATTGAGTACTCATTGCATTTAAAGCAACTAGTTCATCTGTCCGTATGTCTTAGACATCTGATACATTATCTGTATCTAATATATGTCTTGTATCATGTATCCAATACATGTCTTGTTAGTTTAATAAATCAATGTGTGTTTGGGATGCTCAGACAGGTGTGTCTAGGTCCACGTAGATAATACGTTCCAGTTACGAGTATTGTATCATATCTTGTTGTATAAAGTAATTGTAGTCTTCCAGACAAGACGATTTGCATTTGGTATGCTCAGATGAGAGTACCAAAGGTTTGTAGACAATTAGAATGGATTGTACGTGTAGAATCAAATTGATTCAGCATTAAATAGAGTAGTTCAATGATACTTATCAAGTTTAGTATGATTGAGCATATCATATCATTTGTACTATAGTATATAGTACACTGAAGCATTTGTAATAACGATTGTAGTGCATATAGTCATACATATAGCTAGTGAGGAGGAATCATAATCATTTAGATGATGATTTCGAAGAGTTGCATTTGTAGAGGGTAAGATAAAAGCATAGTAACAATGTAGACATGAGTAGGGAGCACAAGGCTCATAACCTGTTAGTGTTTTGAGGTTGCAA